ATAAACACAAAAGGATAAAATAAAAAAAAAATAAACACATAGAAAAAGGAAAAATCAAATGTCAGAACAGAGGGGGGGGGGGGGGGGGGGGGGGGGGAAGGAAGGTAAGTGTCTGTGAATTGATGATAATAGAGGTGGGGAAAGTGGGATGTCTGTGAGCTAATGGTATTAGAGGTGATAATTGGGGAAGCTATCTTGGTCTATCACTGTTGCACATGGTGTGTGATTCATGCCCAGGTGGACTTGCACACTTCAGCGCTGGTTTTGAATCTCAGGGAATTGATCAGGTTGAAAAATGGGGTTCTCTCTCCCTGCAGAAAATACTGGTGTTTTTTTCCAGTAGTAATTCAAACACCAAACCGTTTTGGCTGGAAATCAAACTATTTCCATTTTGGGGCTGAAGTATTTCGGTTTTGAGGTATTTGTTTTGCAACAACAAAAAGAAAATTCTGTAGAAAGCAAACAATTTTTGGAAAAATGTTTGTCTCCATCAAAAACCCAAATTTCCATACAAAATGTTTTGACGCAACGTTTTTACATATTCTACCTGCAGAATAGCAAACTCCTGACTGTTTCTTACGCAAAGCAATTAATCAACCCAGCATTGCTTGAAAGCAGGGGTAGGGAACCTTTTCTGGGTCAGAGGTCACTGACCCACAGAAAAAAAATCAGTCAGAGGCTGCAAAATGGCCTCCAACTAAGGAGCAGAAAGACCCTTCCCCAAATTCCCCTCATACACTAGAGCCCACCGGGGCCCAGGCTAGTAGATTTTGTGGGGGAAAAGTTTCTAGGCAGCACTTTACTATGTGGGGAGAGGAAGCGGCAGAGTGTGGAGTCACTTCCTCCCCCTATCAGGTAGAGCCTGTGGGCTGGATCTGACTCTAGCTTGCCCGATTCCAGCCCCTCAGAGTTGGGGCTCCTCCCCCTACCCCACAGTGAGAGCAGGTATTGGTGCCCCAGCCCCACGGGGAAACTGGGGAGGAAGAGCATGGGGTTGGAGCAACAGCATAGGCTCCCCAATATTGCAGAGGGGGCAGGGGAGGGCAGCCCCGAGCCTCGAGGGCCAGATCTAGGCAAGCCAGGGATCCAGCCCCAGAGCCTCAGGTTCCTCACCTCTGCTTGAAAGATTTAGGAACAGTAGCAAACCTCTTCGCAAACCCTGGTCTGCATTGCTCATGTCCCATGCTTTTGTTGTGAACATTGCACACAGCTCTACAAAGAGGCCACAGAGCTTCATACCAACCCGCCAGGTGGAAACAAGAGGGGCGACCC